CATATACTATATACATGTATGCTATAGGCTATCGTGACATTCAAAGTGATTTATCATACCGATGTATGTATGTTTTGCGTCGATTTTCAGCGTGTAAGCGCATCGTAGTCGCAAACTGGCTCGTACGCACAATTACTATGCTGCCTTCCCTCTCTGTCTCTCTTTGCCATGATAAAATGTACGCAATTCCGCTACGTACTAGGGAAAAAAAAACTGGTGAATCTAACGATGATACACTGGAAGGAAAAATGATTAGAGTTATCGTAATTTATAGTCATTTTAATGCCAACTATATATATCCTTTGATAAAAATAATTACAAATATAATTATTACTAACTTTAGGTAACTGTACTGTTAAATTTATAATATCAAATTATATTCAATTTGAGTTGTTTATAATAATTTCTATAAGTCGCGCTATTGCATCTACTCAATATATCATTAATTTGACTAAAACAATGAAATTAAATAATTTGACGCGAGAAAATGTATTAAATTTGAATCACATTTAATTCATTATTTGAATCAAATTTAGTTTATTATTTACTAAGTGCATTTATTATAGTGCAGTTAATATAGACGATGTTTACTTTGAAATTGACCACAGAAATGGATTGATTTACATTTTTATACACATGGAAGTTAAAAGTAACTAAATTATTTAATTTACGCCTTTTGACTCAAGGAGTTGAGTTGTCATTGTTCCTTTGATAATTTTGATATATCTAACAGAAGTATAAATACAGTTATTATTACTAACATTATAGCTTGCACTATAGCATAATAACAGTACACAGTAATAACTATAAAAATAGAACTCCTAATCATAATTATACATATATAGATATATATATATATTTTTACTAGGCAATTATAATCACAAATACCAAACACTTTTCTCTCGACGTAAATTTGCAGAAAGAAATAGAATTAAGGTTATGCGAAAGGACCTTAAAAAAGGGAAATACACACATACGACACTACGCGTTCTCTTCTTCGGAGCAAATGTTGACGGTGAAATGGAATTATGTTTGAAAAGGCAATTAAATGAAATTGCACTGTGTGAATTGAATGGCTCCGAGAGAGGGAATGCGATCGCAATTAATAGCGAGGATACTCTGTTAGCGTGCTCGGGAATCCAGACACGCTCGACACGTTGCGCATCGTCGTGTCGTCAATTTACAGTCGCGTATCGCCGTATCTCGAACAATGGTATGAAAACCGCGTCGCATTCCAGAGCGCGCTGGGACGGTGCATCGCAAATGGTTAATACTCTTCGCCATTCAGAAACTTCTCTTTCCGTCCCAATCATATTTTTTTCTTGAGAAAAAATTCTTGCGGGATGTAAAATTGTCGAAAGAAAGCGCGACTCTCATCGAGCGCATTTTAACATATCGTTTATAACGATGTATAGCGTGATAATATCGCTTTAAAGAATACAAATACGAATTAAAAATATTACGCGATGTAACAATGTATTTAATAAAAATAAAGGATGAGTAAGTACATTTATAATGTGTTGCCCGGAAAATCCGTGCGGATTTTTTCCAAGATAAACTCTCCAAAATCAAAATTGTGTTTTTATTAAAAATAATTTTAATCTAAATAATGTAGGCACCATTTTGCACCACAATATTTTTCTATATTTTAGACAATTTCATAATTTCTCTTTCGTGGAAGTCCTTTTTTAACGTCATCTACTGATAAAATCGCAAGATCATCCAATATAAAATAGGAATGCAGTTAAAACAGGCGTACCATACACAAATATATATCCTATGCTCATGTTCCACGTGGCGAACAGTATATTGCGAATAATAATCTTCAATTAATTGTGGCTTACGTGAAAGAAAATTTACTACACTATATTTCTTCAAAAGAACGTTTTTTGCGTTCAGCAGAGTTAAAAAAAAAAAACCTCAATTTTGATGCGCCGTGAATTCTCTCGTTCCTCGAGCGTTTGTCTAGCTTCGCGCAATCCGCAGAATTAATCGAATCGACTATTCAGCGAGACGAGTACGGTATTGGGAGAATTAAAAGAAAAGAGCGTCTCTCGTCGGCCAAAGTCCGTTTGCGCGGGAGAGGATAATTGGAAGGGGCGCGAGTACAATTTGCGTCAAGCAGACAATCTATCTAATTCCATCGATTTTCTAATCCCCAGCACGTTTCCGCGGTTACTCATAATTTATGCCCGCGATGGTGCAGGCGGCGAGTCACGTTAAAAGCCTCGATCGTATATATGAATACGTGGAAATTACGCACATTCCGCGGCGCTTATTAGATTACCGTCGGCTGCTGTCGTCAATGATATAGTTGCGTCTTCGGTTGCGTCGTTATCTTTATCTCCTCCCCGTGTTCTCCGTCTCTTTCTCTTCTCTAATGCACCTGTCCGCTGCATCGCCATTCATGCGTACGCACATGTGTGCCAGTGACGACGAAAGAAGCTCGCACGATATCCATGTGGCAAGGAATTCGTCCGGATTCTTAGACTTTGAGAAAATATCTATCAAAAATATGACGATTCGTATATATGCTGTTACATAATCCCGTTGATGTGTCCGCTTTAAAATGCTAATGAGAATTATCAGTGCGATGGAATATAAAATGAGCCGACATATCGTGTTTTGCATTCGAGATGGTTGCTTTTGCCTACAAATCAATCGATTGCCTACATTACTTTTGCCGACGGTTTACACAAAGAAATTATTGCCTACATGCTTCTTCTTGCGCACAAATAAAACTTTTAGAAGCAAAATTACTTTTACCTACACGTATTATTGCCTACAGTTCGAGTGTCTACAAGCACTTTTGCGCACAAATATAAAATTAAAGTTAAGTAAGAAAATATTTTTAGGAAATCTGTCACAGTGGGGTGCCAGCGTAGACAGTGTCCGCTTGGAATATTTTTCCAAAAAAAAATCTAACCCTAATCGACCCCTATTTTTTGGTGTGAGACGGCCCTCATTTCGCGTGGAAGGCTGTGAGCTGTAGGTAGCAATACTTGTAGGCAATGATACATGTAGGCAATAATACATGGCAAAAGTAATCCCCGTTTCTAAAATTTTTATTTGTGTGCAAAAGTGCATGCAGGCAATCGAACTGTAGACAATAATTTTTGTGTGCAAACGAACTGTCGGCAAAAGTGATGTAGGCAATCGATTTGTAGGCAAACGGGGGATCATCCCCCCTTTACATTCAATACTCTAACTTGAGTATTTTTTCTTTAAATGTCACGTCTTTTTTATTTTAGTCGTGAAATTAAGATTTTATATTGTGTGTATGCAAAATAGTATTTTGATAGTAAACTGTGTACGCGCATGAGGGGGGAGGGTATATTATTATTATCAAAATAATAGCAATGACAAGATAATGATGATATATTAATATGATACAAGCATGGCGATAGGATAATTAATACTATATCAATTTGTTGTATCAAATTCAAAGGACTCGCACTAGTTATATCAAAATTAGATTCTGATAAAATGAATTAGTATTTACATATAATGTAGTTTATAATGCGTATATTAACTACTCATTATTGTCTTGTGTGTCGATGACATCTTTTGTTCATCACATTATAAACTATATTATACATATTATACATTTCACCGGAGCCCAATCTATAATATAATTAGTAGAACCTTCACTCTCTAATTATATGGAAAATTGAGTCCGGCGAAATGAGCTAGTTTTCACATGTAATGTAGTTTATAACATGGTGGAACAAATGATATCATATAGCGATTTCAATTGAATGCACTCAGTGTGCACTGGTGCATATTAAAGTCGTGCACAGATGTAAAAATGTGTATTTATTATAGAAACGTGTTAAACCGCGATCTTCATTACATTTTATTACGTAGGTAAAATATGTATTTTATAATTCAAAATATTTGCATTTCACTTTTACACTCAGATTAAATCAGTGTATCAACGGCTTTAATATCCACCAGTACGCACCAGTGCATCCCAAATTCGTTAATAGACACGAGGTTCAATAATGAATAGTTTTTGAACTATATGACGTATCAAAAATGTAAGATTCGCTCACGGAGCATCTTTGATACGTTATAAGTTAAAAATTATTGTATATTATTGAGTCTTGTGTCAATAATATCCTTTCTTTACCACATTATAAGTTGCATTATATATGCGAAAATGAACTTCTTTCATCGGAATCTAATTTTCCATCATATAAATGAGGATCTTTTGATTTGAGTGCTGGATAAGTGAGAATATAATAAATTAAGAAAAACTCTCTTTGGATCCAGATTAAGCTAACAAAGACGAACAATCACAAATGAACATGAACGATTATAGTATTACTAAAGCTCTATATTTATAAGAATAGCGTAAAAGACTGCTGTTTGCGTAATAATCATATCATATTAAAAAGTTGCCAAGCGCTTATTGGATGATAGACCAATTAGAGATAAAAAATGGCAGTTGAAATAGCCAGTAGAAAAATGCAACCAATAGGAGGACGGCGGTTGTCGATATTCGCTAAGATAAAAGCAATGCGTTACTCTTAGATCGACTCTACACACGTTCAAGTAAACTTTGTCAAGTATAAATGCGCAAACCGCATACATACGAGTTTATATGTGACAAAGCTGCATAGTTATTGCAACAAATCATACTTGACAAGTTTACTTGAACATGCGTGGCCGGCAGCTAAGAAATGCATTCTGTTTTATTACAGTGATTTACAAGTATCGTTTGTCATTGTTTAGCATTTAATAGACAACGAGGATGAACTGACACGCTTACAGCGCGTGAGCGTGAAAAACAGAACGTATTTTCTTATAAATATAAAGCTCTAAGCGTAGACAAGTTTGTCTTTCTTATACCAAAAGAAGATGGAACGTATTCGGTAGTTCGTTTGTGGTTTGTTTTTGCTTGATTCGGATCCGCCTTTCCTCGACTTCGTCAGATTCCGAAAGTTTAAATTTTTCCAATGCACAAACACACAGTCAAATTCGCAATTGTTTTTCAGGATGCGCCTGCGCGGGAGCGAGTTCGCGAGACGGTGCGCGCGAGTAACGCGCCGGTGAACGCGCGAAGAAATGAAATGTGCGAAGAGGAGAGCCATTAGGAATCCGCCATTCTCGGCGAATGTCATTCACCCTGCGTGTACATCGTAAGAAGAAAAAGAAGAAGAAGAAGAAGCAGCAGCAGCAGCAGCAGCAGCAGCAGCAGCAGCATCGTCATCGGAAGAAGATCGAACGAAGTGAGTGAATTTTCCCGCGCCCGAGATTCGGCACTTGTAAATTTCGTCATCGCTCGAATCTCCTCATTTCGTCCGGGAATCAGCTATCCGTAAACGTGTTCCATCCCGGCTGATCCCTCGCCCCGTCCAATTCCGCCGCCGGCGTCGGATGAGCGAAAGGCGGTACTTCGCTCAACGCGGCGCGTCTCTCTCGAGACACATCCCGAACGCAGATTATTTCGCACGTTATTTTCGCGAGGTCACGCTGAGGCACGCGCTCCGGAGTCTTTCTTCGTCCATTAACGCCTCGATACGGTGCGCTTTATACAGTCTTCTTAATAATTCTTCAAAACTATCACAGTCCCGTCGCCTATACGTCTCGTGCGCGAATTTAAATGCAAGTTCAAGTCACGCCGGTATACTCTCACTTTTTGGCCAAGCAAATCCCAAGCAAATCGACCGACCTCGTTCTTTCTTACTCGCTATAGCACAATTCTGATGATAGAGATGAGAAATTCCATCCGAATGACCGTAGTGAAAGAGCACGCTTGTCGATGCTCGCGAGACGCCTTCGCCGTCTTTGTCGATGAAAGGATTGATGGAATGTTCGATTGAAGAAGAGTCGGTAAATGTCCGTGAGGATCGTCGATTGTGCTGGCCGATTGCGTTAAACGCCGCTGCTCAACAGTGAAGAACTATGCGGTCCATGCGGACGAGCTTGAGTGTCGGGAGATCTAATTCCATCGAATTCAGAGATTCGGTGGAGATCCACTGAGTGATCTATGAACGATAAAGCTTCTTCTTCTGTAACGTGCGCACATTATTCGACTTTGCCTATTAAGATAGAAGAGATCCCAGACTGATAAAATTATCCAGCAATTAGTAAAACCGGAGTCTTCGCCGTTTGCTCGGCGACTACGCTCTAGTTTCGCTCTCGATCGGGGCTCAACAATTTCTCTGTTCGCCGGGACTACTTATCCTAAATTAGCCTAATTCCGAGCGAGAACAATTTCGAAATTACTCGCCTCTAACACACTCGCGCGAATTAATCTAAAAGCAAGTGCTGTTTTTCCTTCAAGGAACTGCTCTGCTCGAGGCAAGGAGCTACTGAAGTCGCAAGAACGCGCGTCTTCGCTTCTCTTCCGGGAGTCGAATCGATCTCAAATGAGTCCAGCCCGAATCGATTGACCGAACAGAGAATCGTCTGACAGCAGCATTGAGATTCGTAAGTCACGGCGCTTCCACATTGAGGTACATCGAGAAGATACGCGGATCTCCATTCGATCCTCTCTGAAAGGGGACCGATTCTAGACTCCGGTAGTGTCCGCGGGGACGCAGATGGGAGCTTGTCTGATAGAAATCCCATCGACCACTCCGTGCGACAACAATCTAACGCGTTCCCAGCGATCGACTTCACGGCTGCCGTCGTTCACCGACCACAAGGCCTCTTCTTCTCCCACCCGATTCGGCCACAAAAATTCGATCAAGCTGGAATTGATGGAGTTGGAGAACATTGTTGCGAACACCGTGTACCTGAAAGCGAGAGAAGGTGAGTCTCGTTTCGCTTGTGTTGTCACTCATCGCTATTCGATTTTAGATTTCATGTTTATATTTTATGTTTATATACATATATATATATATATTTATTCGCGGAAATTACTCGATCACTCTCAATATACAGCATGCGGAGCGATTAAAGACTGTAGCATGTAGAATAATTAAGCGCAGAATAATTAAACGAGTGAGTGTAATGGTAAGTTAAATTCATTATAACGTAAACATTTATTTATTTTTTTCTTTTTTTTTTTTTTTTTATCGAAATATACTAGTTAGAATAATGTATTAGTGAGTGATGTTTTACGATGTCGTATAGTAATGTTCTACATTTCATTTTGTTTCCATTATTTTAAGAGCGGCAAGGTAATTAGGAAACTGAGAAAATTCACGCGGTAATGACAAAAATTGTTCCATGACGGGTAATAATTGCGCTTTGGTATAGCACGTGTCAAGAACAGTTATTGAGTTCGGTCGATTAGCGCGCGCGCGCTGAATGGACAATTCTGGTATTGTGTATCTACATATAATGGCCTTCCCTTACCCTATGGCCTATACGCACGGCTTTCATTACCGAGAGTTCGGCTGGGCGACATTTATTACGCGCGTAAAGTCGCTCCGCAGTTTAGCTGCGAGATTGAACATTCGGATTTAACGCGCAATATGCAATCGTTACTTTCGCGTTTAACGCGTTTCGAATTGCCGTCGTGGAGAAAATTAAGGCCATTAGGCGTATATTTTCGCAACGCATGCGATTCGGGATAAATATATCCGCAATCGCGTGATTACGTTTCTCGATGGGATTCAGACTGTCATTTGGATGAAAAATAAAAAGATTTTCCTCTTTAGAATTTTTCTTGTTTACGGAGAATTAACGTCGATTGAACAGCTTTAGATTGCGGAAGATAATAAAGCAACGTGAGATTTGCGCATGTAATATTTTTACACACAATAATTGAATGCAATAATTGAAGTTATTTTTATCGATAAGAAAATTTCGTCGTTTATTCATAACTAGCTATATAAAAGACGGCAATTGTGCAGTTGTAATGTACGTACATTTAGACACGTGCTGGATCGACAAAGTACTTATCCAACGTACGTTTTATGATGGCTTGTTGTAGGTGTCCGTGTTTTAATGCGCGCGTAAAACGATCGTGATATTTCGCGCCGACAGCTTAAGCGCCGGCAACGCGAGCGATAGATCGAAGCAAAAAATCTTTACTGCGAGAGGATCGTCTTTTTCTCCCTGCTCGGCCCGACGCGTATTTTAGCGCACCCCTATCGTCATAGGCGCCGGTAGAACGCGAAATAAAATAAACAATTGTTCTTATTTCTCTTTTATCTTCGTCAAGATTTACGAAACTGTGTTGGTTGGACTGAAATTTATTTTCGTAAATGCTATAGACGACTCTCAATTCTTTTAGCCTCTCTCTTTAATATGTTGTTGAAACAAATTGTAAAAAGAATAACAAAATATACAAGATTCGACAAATATGACGATGGATTAGCAAGGTAAAAAGGTGAAATGAAAACTATTTTATTGTTGTAATTTTTTAAACGTAATTTTCTCTGAATAATAAAAAAAGGCCAAAAATAGTAAATTGTATTCATTTTTAGAGAATATAAAGAGACACGTTGTCATATTTAGAACACATCCGTGGCGTCCCATGTCTTGTACGAGGATAGGTACCTTTGTGGTAGACTAAAAAGAATTACGACGTATATTAAGCACGCACAAGCTTCGTATCATCGCCGTAGATTCGTTATTTAATTTTTATACAGGACACGAGAGAGAGAGAGAGAGAGAGAGAGAGTTAAAATATCGCTAGTACGATAGATATGCAAATTACATGAAAATGCTTCGATGCCTTTCACAATGTAACAAGATATTTTGTTAGCTATTTTGCTCTTTTATTACGTACAGGCGAAAAGATCAACGGCAATTAAAGAAAAAATATTTAAAAACTATAATAATAAATTGGAAATAAATGAATCTCTCCCCCCCCCCCTCTCTCTCTCTCTGTCTGTCGAAAAGCGTCTTGATTTAGCGCTAATCAGCTTTCTCTAATCAGCTTTAATTTAATTATTTAATGTTTAAACATCTATAACCAGTCTCTTTGTATGGCAGTCTCGTGTAAAGCTCTCTGATACAAGCGGTTAGTTCCTCTCGCAATTAGCGGTG